ATCGAAGGCTTTTTTGAAGTCAGGATATATGACATCAATCTCTTCTCCCTTGTCCAGGTGATAGGTCACCTGGTCGTAGAAGGAAATGAGATTGGTCAAGCAAGACCTACCCGCAACAAACCCGTGCTGGCTATCCCTTAAGATGTTGGCGTCGGCCAGTCCATTAAGGATGGCCTCTTTAATAAACTTTTCTAAGATCTTCCCCGGGATAGAAGTCAGGCTGATGGGCCTATAGTTAGCCGGATCCACTTTCCTCCCTTTCTTGAAGATAGGCACCACATTGGCCTTCTTCCAGTCTTCGGGCACTACACCAGAGCGCCAAGAGTTTTCAAAGATCCGTGCACCTCCTTGGAGGTGACTCCCATCCTCCACCCTTTGTAGGCCTTTCTTTTTAGCCTCAGGAGATCTGCTAGGTCCCTGGAGAGCCAGGGGGGCTGCTGTGCCCTCTTGCTGCCTTTCCTCCGAGATGGAATAGACTTAGTTTGTGCTTTGAGGATCACTCCCTTGAGGAGCAACCACTCCTCTTGAACTCCCCTCTCCCTGTGGTCACGGTCCCTTAGGGCCTCACTGACAAGCCTCCTGAGCTTGTCAAAGTCGGCTTTCCTGAAGTCAAGGACTTGCGCGTTGCTGACCGACTTGCCAGCTTTTCGGCGGATGGTGAAGGTGATCAGCTCGTGGTCGCTGTCACCCAGCTTCCCATCGATCACTAGGTCGCCGACTGGGTCATCCCCAGTAGCCAGTACCAGGTCGAGCAGCGCTTTGCCTCTCGTTGGCCCATAGACTTCTTGAGTCAGGTAGAGGTCATCCACGCACGAGAGGAAGCTCTGCGACCGCTCAGATTTTGCTGAGCAATCCTCCCATGAGATGTCCTGGTAATTGAAGTCACCCAGGACAACCATGGTCCTGGAGCAAGCTGCCTCAGCCAGTTCCTGGGCAAACTCCTGGTCAAGCTCAGGACTTTGGGTGGGAGGTCTGTAATAGACTCCCACCATTGTGTCCCCTGTGCCATGTTCCCCATTTCTTGATTATCCCCATTTCTTGAACATTTCCCGGTTCTTGATTATATCCTACTGAAGTCTGGGAGAATTTCCTGTACAGGACTACTAAGTACATTCAGCTTTTGTATCTGTTTATCCATTCGTAGAGCAAACGTTAACAATAACCTAATGTCTGTGGAAGCATAGGACTCTATTTGTCTGTAAAGTGCCTTGGGATTATGAACAAAAAGTTCTATACAAGTTCAAAGTCTTGGTAAGGACTGTTTTGACCCTGATCTGCTATTTGGAAACAGCAGTATCTGATTAACGTCTTCATGCAGCACTAGTGCTGGACAAGTAGTGTAGATGTGAGACTGATCTTTCCTGTGCTACAGGCATCCCTTGCTTGTGCAAAAACCAGGGACTAAAGTAAGTGGGAATTATTACTGCAGCCACTTGAAATTATTGCAGAAGACAAACTTTGTCCTGGTGGAAACACAATCCAAGTTAATTAAGAGGTATTCTCACTTGAGTTCTGAAGGAGTCAAAGGGCAGTCCTGGGAAAAATGAGGTGACTTATGGGAGGCCTGTCAGTGACACGGGAGGAAGGACTCTAGGAAGGGAATGATGATGAAAGAATGCTAAAGAACGTTAAAAAGTAGAAAAGAACCGGGGGGGGGGGGAGGAATGATTTAATGAATTTGAAGCAAGGCTACTTAATTTAGCGAGGAAGTTAAGATCAAATGATTCAGTTCCTCTGTCGGACAACAGGTGTGTGGTGTCCAAGGCACTCTTGTTTTGCAAACCAGAGCTCATGAAGTTCTAATTTGTTACAGGGCATAGATTACCAGTCCTGCAGGATAGTGGTTAATTAGTCACATTCAAAAAAATAGATTGTCAATGTGTGTAGTTTCAAAATGTAGCAGTTTGCCCTCGACTAGAAAGCCATAGTGATGACTTGAGCACTGTTTGCTGCCTACGCATGAATAGTTGCTATGAATTTTCAGAATAGGTATCTTTACAAACATTTCTTTTCATTCCAACATCTACATAACTGAGTGCATTAACATGATGGCACCTTCCAGTGATGTTTGCATTCTGGCAGGAAGTCTCTTAGGATGCAGTCTGAGACATGGGGAAATATAGGTCATCTCACTTATCTCTTTTCTATGCTATTTTGTTCAAATTTGGCCTTGCTCAGAAGTTCTGTAGACATCTATTACAGTCTTAGTGACCATCATGGAACAGCTTAAATGGTTGCAACCTAGTTCCAGTGAGCCAGGGCATAATTCTGTTTCATTTTGTGTCCAAATGACGTGCACCTACCTGCATAAGTATCAGTCCTATTCCACATGCCCCCCCACCCATACCTACTCAGCAGCTGTGTGCATGCTTGTGTGTCCATCCTGTAGTTTGATTAGGATTAGGCACTGTGTTGAAGTACCAAAACCAACATTTATATGGCTGGGGAAGTGCTATTTGGTTGTGTAAATTGAAATAGGATTGTACCTCAAGTGTCCACATCGCGCTAATTGGCAGCCTTGTGGTGGTCTGAGAAGAAGTTAAGAATCAGGCCGACATTGGTTTAAACCTTTATTAGTTAATGTTAAAGATTATAGCTACAAGGGGACATTGTTGTATACGTTGACACCATCTAAAACAGGGGTGGGCCAAAATATGGCCCACAAGCCAGATCTGGCCCACCAGGCAGTTCCATCTGGCCCGTGAGGCCCCTCTATAAGCCCTGGTCCTTGCTGCCCCTCTGCAAGCCGGTGCCTTCATGCAGGAGGTGTGGTTTTAGTTGCGAAGAAACCATCCCCCCAGTCTGGCTTGACCTGCCCCAGCCTGGAGCAAGGGGGCATTGGAAATGAGAAGCCTCTGCCTGGCCAAGGCTTTTGCCTGGGATCCCGCAGCTGTTTCTAGCCTCCCTGCCTGTATGAGTGGGAATTCAGGTACAGCTCCACTAGGCTGGGCCAGAGGCTTCCCAGGGCAAAAAGGGGCAGGAGTGCAGGGAGCCACTTGGCATGGGGCTGGGTGGGACTGGCCCCTCATGCTGCAGCAGCGCAGGTGCTGTGGCTATGGGGCCAGGTGCGTCTGGCCCTGCATGCTGCCACCACATGCACCCAGGGACTGGAGTGGAAGCACAGGTGCCACACGTTATGGGGCCAGGTGGGACTGGCCCACATGCTGCCGCCATGTGCGGCAGGGACTTGGGGTGGGAGCACAGGCTGCATGCTATGGGGCCGGATGGGGCTGGCCCTGCTTGCTGCCACCACGTGTAGCTGCCGGGATGCCAAGGACCACCCCCCACCCCCGCGCACATACACTCCCACACCCTCATACATCCCGACCCCAACTGCATACCACACATTCCCCACACATGTCCACACCCCAAACACACCTCCTCCACATACACCCCATTACCCACCCCACAAACACATAAGAGTAGAAGACTGTATTTTGAGCTACTATGCAAACACCTCTAGATACACAATACAAATGCACACAAATCAGGGCAAAAATACATTTTTAAATAAAATTAAAATAAGTTATAGTAAATGTTTGATTTTTTTTTTTTTTTTTTTTAAGTATATGATTTGATTTCTTTTTATTCCAGTTTCAAGATGGCACCCCCTCCCCCACAAAAGGAGCACTTTCGGGCCAAGGAGAGGGACTTCACATGGCAAAGGTCAGGGGTTAGGGACAGGACTTCCTGTCCCAACATGGCAGGGCACCTGTCAAGGGATGGGGCTACCCTTGCTGCCCTTGACAGCTCACCAAAACTCGTTAAGCAGCCTTCTACCCAAAATAATTGTCCACCCCGGTCTAAAACATGTAGTCAGTCATGCAGCCTACATTAGCCCAGGTTAAAGCGGAGTAAGAAGTTGTAGTGTATGCTAGGGAGAGTAGAGAAATGAGACCGCATGCATGTGGTAACCATGTCGGTACAGAGCTGTAGGGTAGGAAGAACTCTTATACCACGGGTTAAGCATGCAACGTACAATTTTGGGGTAGAGAATGCTGAAAGGCATTAACCGTCTCTGTGAGTCTATGATGTGTGTGGTTGGGGGTAGGGTGGTTCAGTCGGTCTTACTTCCAGCAAGTCATCTTGGCTGGCTGTCTCTGTATTGGTGATGGCCCATGATATATATGCTTGATGTAGATGTCTCTTGCCCATCAGATAGTATCAGATACCATGAAGTGCCTCATCAGTGTTAAACAGTTCCATAAACCATAGGTATGGTCCCCAAAAGAGGGTTTGGACATGTCCTGGGGCAAGTTGGCATTGCTACAGGGCTTGTGGATAAATGCAGGGCCTAGATTGCAATTGTCAATCTAGTCTTGGCACTAAACTCACATTGGCTTTTTCTGATGGTCACTCCTATTTCTGTGACCCTGAACAAGGAGAGAAGGCTGGGTGTGACAGGCTGCTGTGCAGCCTATATCTTAGCTACGTATTGTCATATTTAAGGTCTTTGATAAATTGACAGGTGTATTTATCACTTACAATGTTTAGGTTCAATTCATTTGTAGCTACTATAACATATTACATAGCATATTTCACATTATCTGAATTTTGTCCAGAAGTCATAAAACCAAAATCATCAAATGGAGATAAGATACTTGAACAAGCTGCATGACATGTCTTTGTACTGCTTCCTTCTGCTAAGTCAGCAAAAGTATCCCAGAATGACAGGTGGAGCACCCATGCCAGACCAACAGCAGCCATGCATTCATTATTGGCTATAATTAAAATGTTTGTTATGTTTTCACAGTGAGGTGCTGCAGATACTTCTCAGTGAGTTTGTCATTGCAGAGTGAAATAGTCAATATGCTTCTGCAGTCTGATCCTGCAGGAATATCAGGACATTTGCATAATGGTTATCGAAGTTATCATCTCATCCCTTGCAATTGAAATAAAATCTATTGTGTTCAAAATTTGTTTTGCTGCATGGAGCCGTCATTGATTAATGTCTAGATCCTCAAGGGGAATTGGATGTTGTGATGCTGAGTATCTAATATCTGGACATTTGGTTCACAGAAAAGAATCCACAGCTCTGAGCTGGGTGCCCAGACCACAGATTCAATGCATTGGGAGAGTTACACCACCTCAGAGATTTACAGCAGCCAGTACACTGAATGAAGCCTGACTAAACTAGTCTATAGGAAAGGCTGAAGAGAAGGGTAAATTTAAGCCCTGATCTTCTTGGGATTCAGATTCCTAGTTGCGATCTGCAGGGAAGTATCTACCTCAATTTGGGATGTAGAGCCCTGAACATTTTCCAGGATTTTGGTGTCTGAGCCATTCTACCAAAAGCAATGAACAGGTCACACCTTTCTATTAAAAGACAGCTTCTGGTAGTGATGCCCTTATTTAATAACCTAAGGCATGGCTGTCTAGCTTCTAAGCAGCTTGAGGCCATGTGCCCTATGGGCATGAGGCTCCCACTGGTGCAGCCCTTTGGGCCACATCCAGCTAGACCATGGTCCCCCAAGGCTGGACACAGTGTGGGCATTCCCTGCTTCTGTGCCTGCGTGGGCATTTCCCCTTGCTGCCCCACACATTCCTGTGGGCACCCTTCTGCTGCACTACCTGCCTGCACAGCTCCAGGCTCACCCTCAACTCCCTGTGCCATGCCACATTGCACCAGCCCACCAGTGTATACCACACCTTGCCCTGCCTCCTGGGGTGGGCACAGAGAGCAAAAGCCGAAGGAGGGAAGGGGAGCTCAGGGACTGCAGCTGCTACTGCAGCTGTAACAATAGGGAGAGTGGCAGCCAGGTGGGAGCCCAAAGGCTGCAGCTTTACCTGGCCTGAAGGCTGGCAGTTAGACAACCCTAATGTAAGGGTTAGACACCCAGGTTCAATGCTTGCTTTGGCCTGAAGGGTTTCAATAGCATATCTCAGACTTCTCAGGATAGGGCCTTAACAGGCAGGCTGCCCTGGAATGGGGACATTCTTCACTGTTGAAACTGTTCCACTCTTAAAAAAAAAAAAATTGGTGGGACAGAGAGAGAGCATGGCTTTGTAGACTTCTGGTTATGGTACTCACCACTGGACCCACTAGATGCGTGTCTGGGCAATTGCAAAGAAGGACATTTTTTTTGCTACTATTTAGTTGGTCTAATAAAAGATATTGCCTCTGTCCCAAGAGTGTTGTCTGTCTTCGCTATAGCAATTTTGCTGATTTTTTTTTTTCCATTTTCAGACTTGCACAGTTAGACTTGGTTCAAGTATTTTCCCGATTATTCAATCTATGCCAGTGCTTAGTTCTGCTTATAGTGGGTTTTGTGACTCAGACCTCCATCACTAATTGTCACCCTTCTTGGTAGTATTAGTGAACAGTAGAATTGCATGGGTGATGGGGATCAAATGAACTCTTTTGTCTCTAGAAAAGGCAGAGGTAGTTCAGCATTACAGCATGGGAATAGTACCATATTTACTCACCTACTACACACTTTTTCCCCCTAAATCAACACCCCCCCCTCAAATTGGGGTGCATGTCTTAAGCAGGAAGCTGATTTCTGTACAGGATAGAGGCCCCTTGCTCTACAGTGGCAGCAGCAGTTGTATTTCTGTTCAGGAAGCTGAGGGAGCCAGTTAACTTAATGTCTCATTGTTCTACATTCCAGAGGTGTTAATAACCATCTCTCTCTTTCAGTTATCTTGATATTTCATTAATCAAGCTAACCTTTCTTAGGCCAGTTCTGCTTTCTGCTAGCTGTTCTTGGTCTTCTCCTATTTCATACCCTGGAGACTCTTTAGTTCTTTTCATGATTGTAGATCCACCCATGGAGACCAGTCTTTAGCAGCAGCTAGGGTTTCAGCTATTAGTTAAGCAGGAAGAGGAGGGTGAATGAGCTGAAAATTAGGTTCTGTCTCTGCTGTATGCAGACACTGCTTAGGGAAACTCTTTTTTTCCTTCATTCAGCCTTTCCCAAATCAAGATGTGTTTATTGTGTGCCGTGTGTTGCATGCAAGAAAATATGTTATGTAGATGCTGTTCTAGGCACCCCTTCTTACACAGAAATCTTTAAAAACTAGGGGGTTGCTGGTCTTTGTAAAGTAGAGTTTGGGCCAGAAAAAAGCCCAGCTGTGTCTAGCATAGAAAGGAAAACCTCTGAACTGTTACCCTGCCAGTTATGTTGTCCCTGGAATGCTAGCACTCTGTTTATGATAACTTTTCCTGGGCAGGTATGTAGTAATGCTGTAAGATTCACATTCATTGACTACTGTGTCTGAACCTGGTAATCATGGTTTGCACTGCTTAAACTTTTGAGTGTTAAACAGAACAAAATAGCGAGTGTGGAGAGACCCTTCTCATGCAAACAGAACAGATTGCTTCATGTCTCGAAAGTTCTCTGGCTTCAGCTTTTCAACTACTCTGTTTTGCCAGTCACTTTCTTTCAAAATGAAGGCAGCTGGTTGCATGACATGCCCACGCATAACTGCAAATGTCTACACTGAGACTAATGCTCCTGCCCATATGTTGGGTATTTAATTCACAACTCTTCCTTGTCTCCTTTCCAGGCTCAGTACTGTTCATGACTGGGAACCTTTGCAGTTTGGTCCCCAATATGAGAGGTGAACCTGCACACACCTCTGGTGCACATCAAAGCATTAAATTTATCTTTCTTGTTCTTTATTTTTTAGCCTGTAGTTGAAAAAACTTGGTTAGGGTGTTAAGTGTTCATGTGTTTAGTTCTGTTTGTGTGCATACCTGTGAGGTGTATAAACCCTGTCTGATAGGCTCTCTCTCACAGCATCCTCACAGCCACAGCATATGAAGACCATGCAAGCATGCATTAAATGATGCACCTAATATCTGAGGCACATGGTTCCATTTCTATCATCCTCTTCCTAGATGCAAGATAACATGTGCCACAGAGGGAGGGAAGGGGTGGTTGTATCTTTCCAAATGCACACTACTCTCTCTGTACCAGAAAACAGGTTGAATTGAGCCTTGCACTTTGAGCATTCTGGCTTGCATTCTCTGATAGTCTTTATTAACTCCTGAAAGAATTTGTTCCATGATACTGGGGTGGAAACAGACATTGCCTTTGTGCTGCTATAAACATTTGTATGGAAGTACAAAGGCCAAGCAATGTCTACACCCCTTGTCGTGCCACAAATGCCCAAAATCTGTAAATGCTTTTGCTGCTTTATTGTGGCAGACATCTGCTTGATTTGTGGCACGAGTGCATTGGCGGCCCAGATCAGCCAGCACTCTCCAGCCACCCTGGGCAGGTGCTTTCAAAGTTTGCGGGGCCCAGTCCTGTGTATCCTGGGAATTGCTCCACAGGATCAGATCCCTCAAGCCCTGGGAATACCTGCCTGGCCTTCCCTGCTTACAGAGAACTGCCTTAGAGATTCCACAGGAAAAATCCCTTGTAAGCAGAGAAAGTCAGGGTTCCCCATTTAGAGATGCACCTCCGGAAATCTCTGAAGTGGGTCTCTGTACATGGGGAACATTGTCACTTGTTCCAAATGATCGGGCACTTGCCTGATGTGGAACACCACCAAGCAATGTGTTTTGCTCAATGAAGCAGATCAGCTGTGGCAGGGGACCTCCTGCCACAGCTGATCTACATCATTTGGTGACATCTGTTTAGACCTTCAGGCTAGTACCTGAGAAAATTCGCTTACACTACCCAGCTTTACACTCAGTGGTAGAAAGACTCTTTGTA